GTAACATTATATATTAAGCATAGTTAATGTGGTACTTAATATGAAATTGGTAAAAAAATGCATATGTGTGTACATATATATACATATATATATATATAAAGCATGTACTGATAGTTCAAAAATTAAACTTGAAACAAGTTAGAAGACAACACAATTAACATAAACAAAGTAGATAGAGGCAAAGTAATGCTTTACAGTATAACCAGATATTAAATGGTATAGGAAAGAATGCAAAATGGAGAAAGAGAAACAAAGCTACATGTTACTTCACATCTCTGGAAATTACAACAAGTCACATTAAGAATTATCTGGGATGGTAGCACAAAGTTTGTGTGAGTAACCAACCAATCTCTGATTTGACTTAACGGCCCAATCCATGAAATGGCACCCGTACTCAGTATTGCTTGGGTAACTATGAACATGAGAATAGATAGCCCAGGAATCTACAGTAAAACCAAATACTACTATTACAAAATCAAACAGAAAATTATAGAAATAAAATTCTGCTGTACTCATAGATTCGTGGCATGCATCCATCATTACAGATGCTTCCTCCTGCAGAGATGGAGACTGATACAGATACCTGCAGCCAGACATGATACAGAGTGAGAGACGTTCAAACCCTGAGCCCTAAACAGATGTCTCCATAAAATTTCTCCCCTCAAGGCTCAGTGAACGCCGAGGAAGAGGAGGCAGAAAGAACATAAGATCTAAAGGAAATGGAGGACAAAAGGAAAACAAAAGACAAGGTCTTCTAAATCAACATGATAGATGCACATACATATCTACTTTGAATGAGGTACCATGAACAGGGCCTGCATTCTTCTGGGGCTCTACAGCTGGAAGGAGATATGGACATGCCCTGATCCCTAGCCCAGAAGCTCTCTCCAATTGACATCCACTTGCAAATAATAATTTAGTTTCCTCCAAGGATGTCTCACTGGAGAGAAAAACTATTAAGGGAAGGCTGCATGCCCAACAGTAGATGGCCAACAGCAAGTTAACTCAAGGGCATTTGTGTGGGTTTTGTTGAGTCTGGGAGTTGCAAAAATACTGAGGATAAATCCACCAAAAGTAGATAGGCAGAGACAACTTTATTCCATCACTGCGGAGTACCAGAATTCTAACTAGTTAAGGCCACCACATGTCTGGTTCTGACACAGTGACCCTGAGCAGAGGGAGTAAGTCTTTTTTTTTTTAATTAATTCTTTTTTGTTGTTTTTGGGTTTTGAGACAGGGTTTCTCTGTGTAACAGGCCAGACTGCCCAGGAACTCTCTCTGTAGCCCAGGTTGGCCTAGAACTCACAGAGACCCACCTGCCTCTGCCTCCCCAGTGCTGGGATTAAAGGTGATACAAGAAAAGAAAATTTTGCAACTTTGAGGTTAAGTCTTGGGTAACAGTATATTCTGAAATTTTATAAATTGTTTTAACATTTTACAACTAGTAGTATAATTTGTGATAAGGAGGAGCTTGTACAAGTTTAATAGGGGGTGTGAAAGGCTGTTTACATAAATCTGTGATTGTAATAATATAGCTCTTGACACATCTGGGATCTTTTTAACCAACTGTTCTCATAACTGCTGAGAATGTGGGACAAGGTTCATGCAACAAAAGAAGCAGGGAGGAGGCTAATGTTTTTGAAAGATTGTGAACTCTACAGGTTCCTTATCTCACAAAATTGTGACAGGGTTTTCCACACACGGTTTTAAATTTTATCTTATCTTTTAATTAATTTATATATTTTTCATCTCTTTTTACCCTAGCAGGTCCTTCACATAAGTATTGTGACTTTCAGTTTAATGTTTTTATGGGACTTCTGAACAAGTGGGATTCTGCATCTATATTTACTTCTTTTGCCTTTTCCTGGCCTCTTTTCCTTCTGTTTGTTTTGTCCAATTCCAATGTCTTAATTCTTGTTTTGTCTTATTTTATTATTATCTCTTAGAATCCTGTTTTCTTTCTAATGAGAGACTGAAAGGGGGTGTATCTGGATAGGAGGACAGCTGGGGAAGAACTAGGGGAAGTATATAGAGGGGAAGCCATAAGTAATTAGGATATAATATATGAGAGCAAAAATCTATCTTTAATAAAAGGAAAAAAAGTAACAAAGCAATCATAACTTGAAAAAGAAAAAGAATGCCAGAGGATTTTACTACAGAATAAACTATGAAAAGATATAAGTATAGAAACAGTGAAATAGACTTCTTAGCAGAGTTAGCAGCATTCATGTCACACAGCTTGCAATTCTAGTATGGTTCGAAACTATGAAAAAGCACATGCAAATGCTGCACTCAAACATATTCACAACCTTCCTGCCCCGATGAGCAAGGGATCTAACAGCCCCTTGCGAGGTATGTTCTCTACATCATGACAGCTGTTTAGACTTGGAACTTATATGCCAGCAAGAGAGCAATTAGCTGATATCCTGACACAATAATGTCTATGCTTGTAGTAGATGAAAGCTAACTTGGTTGTGCATGAGTCTAAAAACGCCGAGAGGAAAAGTCTACTTCATGAGCTCTGCTCTGCTAGAAACTAGTAAGTGGCAAAAAAAGAGAGAGAACAACTGACATGCAGATGGTGATGTGTTGGGTGCGTTTAAGCACATGTCCTGAAGATTTTTATTTCAGAGATATAATGGCAAACATTTTGTGCAAATCTGAAAACTGCCTGCAGTAAGGATCCTTGACTCTGTAACTTAACTAAGTAGGAAATTACTGTTTAGCTATGTTTTGGCGAAGCAATGAAGACAGTGTGTAATTGTTAGGCTGTGTTTAAAAGAGTAAACTTTCCATTCCATACCATCTGTCTTGGGAGATAAGACTAAAATCTTCTTCATTGTTTTACAAATCCTCCTGTAGTCATCATTTCATATGGTAAGGCAGCCTTCAAGGTATGATATAACTTATCTATGGCAGGAAATTATATCAAAGGTGAACTGTTTTCCTCTTGCACACTAGATTGAAAAATCTGAATGATTGGCAAATTTCTACTTGAGACAATATGGTTGGCAAGCATATTTCTATTTCTCTGTGCTATGGACTTTTTAAGCCCTTGATTACAAATGTCATGACATCAGCTGACTCCTGCTTTCAATTCCCAGATGATTATCGCCATCAATATTTATAGGCCCGGTTTTGTTTCCTTGCATAGATTGCTATTTGCTTCCTACTCTCAAAACTGCATGTGTGTATGTGTGCATGTGTATATTCCCAGTTTTTGTGTTTTATTACTTCCAATACTGCTATAACTTAGTCATTTTGTAATTAATTTTTACTACTTGAGGTATAAATGGAAAATTTGATTCCTTGATTCAAACACTGAATACCATATATGCAAAGTTCTGGAAAATAAGGCCATAACATTTATTAATAAGCCTTCTGTTAAGAACATTTTTCTCCAGAACAGCTGAAAGGAAATCATTGTCATAGTTCTAAATCTGAAGTCATCACTCTCAAGTAAATGGAACGTTGACATGTCCTCTGCATGTGTAGATGTGTATGTAGATTTTTACAATCTTTTCTTAGTCTAGAAAGTCTCTTAAAAAAATAGCAGTTTCCAGGACAACCAAAAATGAGATCCTGATAATACAGATATGATTAAGCATCAAATGAGTCATTCAATTAGAGACCCTGAAGGCTCCTGCCTTCCTTGAAATTTTTACATTTAGACTTATAAAAAGCAGAATTCACTTTGGGGCTTGTTTGCCTATGTTGATCTGTGCATTGAGAAAATTTGTTTGCACAAATATAGATTGACTCTCCCTTATCTAATATCCTTGGGTATTTCAGATCTAGAATATTTTTTCAATGTTGGAGAATATTTGCATATACATGAAATAGTTTCAGGATGGTACCCAATTCTAAGCCCCAAATCTATTTAAACTTCCTATATGCATAGCCTGAAGGCAATTTGATGCAATACTTCCAGTGCCCCAGCATCACAACTGCGGCATACCATATGAGCTCAGGCATGCAGCTGTTTACCTGTAACATCAGGTCAGCACCTGATCAGTTTGGGCTGAGGATCATTGCAGACTGCAGATTTTTAGAACAGAGACACTTTTGAGCATCTTATTAAATTATAAGCTCTCAGAGGAAAGCTTTATAAACCCAGAACAGTAAGAATTTAGCTTATCCCTCACCATCACTGTCTTGTAAAGAATTCCTTACAAAGACAGGTAAACAATTCTGTTCTCACATAAGAGCTGAGAGGCCACGTGAACTTCGTGGACTCACCTGGTCCTTCAGAGTTCTTCACCTTACTGAGGTGACATAGTTAAATACATAACTGAGGACGCAGGAACAAACCTCCATCCAGACCTGTCTATGATTTCACAGGGCTAAGTCTTGCCTACCTTTATGTTGTTCCTTTATTTTGCAACCGATCTCAGTATCACTATGTAGCTTATACTTACCTAAAAGTGAACTCTGGGATCTCAAGGGAAAAATCACATCATTTTATTTATTAAATTTCATATATTAATGGTAAAATTTTAAGGCATCAGAGTTATATATCAATGCAAGTGATTTCCACATAAAGATTTCAAACCTGGCATTTAGGCACTTGCTACCTATGCTGTGTAGTAGATTCATGATTCCTTACACTAGTGCTAACGTGTCTAATCCAGTTCATCCATTTTGGTGAAAAAGCTGCTATTCTGTGTGAACATGGTCTCAGACCACCACTATTCTCCAAGTCACAGCCAAAGTCTAAAGTCACCTGTAGTCCAAATGTAATTAAATACAAATAACCATTCTATTGATAAATTTCCAAATCGGAGCCATATCATTCATATATATATATATATATATATATATATATATATATATATATGCCAATCAGCTAGGTGCTAACTTGTGGAAACTCATGATTACATTTCTTTCAAATCAGTATTTTTGATAGTCAGAGCCTCAATCCTCACTTTTACTGGGGACTGTCTCTAGGAAACGGTAGGGTCACACCGCCTCATTTCCTTTCTCCTTTTTTCTGTCCCTAGGAGCATGAACAGCTCACCTATTCTTCCACGAGGTCCAAGGCCCCCAGTGTCATCATCACAGGTCTCAAGCCATCCACCAAGTACATATTTCATATCCGAGTGAGGACTGCGACAGGATACAGTGGCTACAGTCAGAAGTTTGAATTTGAAACAGGAGATGAAAGTAAGTTTCACTAAAGGATATAAAGTAATATGGTAATTTAGGACTATTCCAATTAACCTGATAATGTAAAACCAGGTGTCCTAATGTTTAACAGCCCTTCCAAATGGGATGCAATTCCTACAAATACTCACATACTCATTTGAGTTACTGTTTTGATGCTAATCAGTAAATACCTCCTGAAATGCCTTGCTTTCAAGCAATCATGTGTCATAAACAAATCCCTATTTATACAGAAATTATCGCACATGCTACTACACAACATCTTAATGGATTGTGTGAGTTTAACTGTCCTGGTATTATAATATGATACTAATGAAGGCAGGGAAGAGATTAAGCCACAAACAAATGGTTTCATCAGTCAGTTCCAAATATGCACATTTGACTTGTTTTCTCAGATCAATAAAAACTGTGTTCAGGAGACACATTCCACCAATGTGTATATTACAAGATTAAATATAGGCACACAGGCTTTATGACAAACTTCCAGTGTTTCCACAGGCTCAGCATGCTGAAAACCAAAACCTGACATGAAGCAAGTGAAGTGTAATGTGCATTTTGCCATCTCTTGTTCATTATAAACCTAGACAAACTAGTGAATACAGACCTTCATCATTTTTCATCTTTGTAAGAAGGTACTAGAGAATGGCCAACAACCATCCATGTCTACACACTGCAGCCACTCTTGAAGCATTGCCTGGGGTCTCAGCACCCAGTTCTTTTCCAGTTTTACAATTACATTTGCTTTCCGAAATATTGCTACTTTACTTTACCCCACCTTATCCGTAGAAGCCTTCTTGACCCCTCTTTTCAGAATCAGAGCCATTTATAACTTCTTGGCATCTTGTGATAGTTCATGCCAACAGTTCAGTGTTCTTAATTCAAATTTACATTTTCTTCCCAGATATCTAGATGTTAAGCCCTGAGAACACAAGTGACCATATTGTTTGAATATACTTTGATATCCTTGGAGCCTCTCACAGAGCATGGGGGCTCTAGGTGTTCTATACATTGTTATTGGGCAGAATGAATATTACAATGATTTATGACTGACTATGCAACTGACAGCTATGAAGAGAATTTCATCTATATCATAGAAAAATTTAGTGTTGACATCAAGTACAAGTTTTATATCAGGCTTCATTTCTTATTTGACTAGATTCTAAATATATTTCACTATGTGAATTTTCCTGAGAGTGCATTTATAACCTAATAATTTAGTAATGACTTATGTGCTTTTAAAAGGCAGATGAATTATTTCCATTATAAAATAAAAATAACTAAATAGTTGTTAACTTTTCTAACCTGTGCCGTAAATTTGGTCATCACTAATAAATATAAATACAAAAAAAACCTTCATTCTCCCAAAAGATAGTGGTCTATGCTTTATTATTTAGGCTATGCCTGACAGGTAGGTAGGGAGAAATGGCCAATAGGATGTGGCAAGGGCAGTTTTTTGGATAAATTTATATAAATTTCATTGTGAAACTGTATTTGGTTATTGATAAAATGTATTCTTAATAACAATAATGCTATCACAATATTAAACACCCACATCCTACATATTTTTTCCATTGATTAATTTTACCTTTCTCTTAAAATATTCCTTTCTCTTCACTCAAGTTGGTATTTGGTCACATAAAGGAATAGTACATACCCTGAAGCCACTAAAGATGTTCTGGAGACTCCAGGCATGGGCACATTTCTACACTGAACAATTTACACAAATCATTTCCTTTAATTCTGACAGCACTGTGCCTCTTTTTAGAAACATAATTAGCTGCATCCATAATTGTATACTAGGGAGTGGAGGTAATAGACAAAAGCCCTAGAACTGGCTAACAACAGCATCAGAAGACAGTGAACACTGTGTCTTTAGTATGAAAGTGACTTTGATTAGATCCCTGAAAAGATGACGTACTGAGAAGAGTCTGAAAAATGTTTGTCTAAATCTGGAGTTCAGGAATATGAAATGGTTCCTAAGTCAGTTTACAGCCAAAGGAAAACGCATTTAAAGGATCATTTTATTGGACCGGCTCTAAATTGCATTTTAAAACATGTTGCTTATACCCTGGAGAAAATTTCAGTGAATAATGTTTTGGTAGGATGGGGGCAGGTTTGCCATAATTCAGTAATATGGTGATATGCACCCCAGTTGATAGCATCTGTCTTTTCCTTTTCATATTCTCCTAGCTCACGTGTAAATTTTTATAGCTTTGTTTCTCAAGTAGTATGTGAACTATTATGATGTCAATTTTATTACTAAGTTCTCCCTTGTGTCTTCCATTTAATTAACTAACTTTATAATACACTCAGAGAATGGGTAGGGACTGGATGGATTAGGCGTTCTCTCATTTGATGGCCTACTTTGAGGTTTTTTAAGGAAAGTGGAAGAATTTACTGTCTTGTTCTCTCCCATTATATATATTTTAATTTGTTCAAGCTTTAGTTTGCTAACAAAACCAATAAAATGAAGAATAGATTGATTCTTTTTCAAAATTATAATGATGTTCTTAACTATTAGCAAATACTGTGCCTTAAATGATAGTGCTATCCAAAGAATAGTTATAGTAATATCTCTTGACCTTCAAAGTCAGTACCTTCACTTACTTTTTTAATATATTTTTTTAATTTTAGAAATAACCTCATTTTACATATTAATCTTAGTATTCCCTCACCCTCCCATCCTTCCATCCTTCTTACCAACCCCCCCAATACACCCTCTACCCACTCCCCAGGATAGTGAGACCCTCCATGGGGGACCATCAAAGTCTGTCACATCATTTGTGGGAGGGCCTAGGCCCTCCTCCATGTATCTGGGCTGCAATAGTATCCCTCCATAAGGGATGGGCTCCCAAAGTCCATTTGTGCACTAGGGATAAACACTGGCTCCATTGTTAGAGTTCCCATGGACTGCCCAGGCCTTCTAGCTTGCACCCACATTCAGAGGGATTGCTTCAGTTCAACGCTAGTTCCCCGGCTTTATGACTTGTGTCTCCGTGCTCTCACTAGGTCAAGTCAATTGTTTCTGCTGGTTTCTCCAGCACAGCCTTGGCTTCTTTGCTCACCACTTAGTTTTTCTCTCATTCATTCATTCATTCATTCAATACTACATCATTAGAGTATGTTAACTGAAAGTAGCTAACAGATGTAAAGATTATTAACTATGGTTACTAGACTATAAAAACAACTTACTTGAACTAGCTTGGTGGCTTTCTTTTCTACAGAACAACATTATTATATATGTTTACATGGAGAGATATGTTAGTGATAAAGTAATAATAGATATTGATTTATAAGTATCTTCTTAGTTGCATGCTGAGTAGCACATTATTTCATTTTACATTTTAATGCTAAGTGCTGTGTCAAGCATATATTTACATATTGTGTACAATGACAGCATTTATCAGTTGCCAATTTTACCATTAACTTAAGTGCAATGTTTGATCCCTTTTTACTTTTGCTACCAAGTTAAATAAATAAAAAAAACAAAATTAGAACAAATTAAACAATAATAGTAAAAGAACAATAACATAAAATATTTCATGTGGATTTTCTTGAAAGACATACAGAAACAGTAGGGGTACTACTAATAATTTTTTTCAAATTGATATAACACTCTAAAATACCAACAACAAACAATACTCCACTAACTGGTCAAGTGTAGTTTGTTCTGTCTGAGATGAACAAACCTGAAGAAAATGTTAATTGCCTCAAACTCATTATTTATGCCCTTCCTAGTCAGAATTTTTAATGGATGAAAATTAAAATAAAAACTGTATCAGCAATATTTTCTACATCCTTAACAATCCTTTGAAACATATCCCATATGTTTTAAGATAATAATTTGTTAAAGTTATAAATATTTTTAAAAGAATAAGAATTTGTAAAGATTATGAAATCAAATATATTTTATTTAAATCACTATTATTCCACAGTCACATCATTTATTAGAGTCACAGGATATAACTGTTTATGTGTACATACTTATGTACAAAATAAAATGTTATAGCTATATTGAACTTTTCTTTGTACTCTAAAAATAATTTTCAAGCAATCCAATGGGAGCAGAATCCATAATTAAAACCCAGCATTATTAGAAAATTAGAATTCTACATGTAATGATTGGCCATTTCCTTCTTTTCTTCCCCTAATATATTATCCAAGTGACCTGAGAGTCAATACAGCGGCTTTATTTTTCTGAAAGCATCAATTATAGCTTACATTTTTACATTATGTAAATTTAGTTTTCACCTGTAGGCCACATACACAGTTTTGTAGCACAGAAGCCACATCTGTCAGCAACTGTAAATGTGTAGTAACTGAGTCTTAATGACTGGCTGGTTTTATAAAATAAACACAGAAAAACTACCAGGATCAGTGTTAACAAACTAAGGTCCTAATTGCTGAATCACAGCAATATTTTTTTAAATCCTCTCTTATACAAACATTATACACATGAAATACACATCTGAGTGAATGGACTTAGTCACTAAGTATTCTGAAAACATCTATAAAAATTAGCTATTTTGAGGTCTGATTAGAAGCAATTGTTTCATTTGAACAGGGCACCGATGAGAATGATCTTGAATGCAAAGCTACAAGATTGCCTTCAGTTCCTTCTTTCCTAATTCATTCTTCATGTTCCCAATAAACTCATTCTTCATTTTTTATAATTTATTTTGTTTTCATTGGTGCTTTGCCAGCATGTTTGTCTGCTTGAGGGTGTTAAATCTTTGGAGTTACAAACAGTTGTTAGCTGGGAGTTGAATCTGGGTCCTCTAGAGGAACAGTGTTCTTAACCACTGAATCATCTCTCCAGCCCCAATAAACTCATTTTCTATGCTCTGTTTAGTGTAGTGTTAATCCCTAAATCACTGCTGACTAAATAACCATATTTATTGAGTATAAGTGTCTCAAGAAGTAGTCATCTCCCTCCAAATCTAGTATCAATGAACATCATTTCTCTTCATCAAACCTTGTTAATGAGAACTCTATGAAAG